GTTTTAGTTCTTTGTATGTTTAGTACTCTTCTCCAACTCCATAACTCATTGTCTAACTTTTAGAATCATAGCAAGTAATTGACAAGATCATGGCTTGAATCAGGTACACCTTAGCTGTTAAAATGACATCATTGCTTCTTAGCACCTTGGAAAGGTCTTTGACAGTAGATTTACTTAATGTAATACATCTCCCGATCTTCTGACTTCGGGTGGGTGGGTGGATCAAAGTACAATGAAATTGTTGACAATTTTAATCTTATCTCCATCTATTATAATTTTTCCATCTTTTTATAACTTTAATCCTGATGCTATATTCTTCTTTATAAAGTTCAGTTTCTTGAATAATTTGCATATTCTTTAACTTGCAGATTATATAAAAGCATATTTGTGTGGGTTAAAAGAAATAAGGATTTAGAAAAGACCTTCCTATGTATTTTTCTTGACTCTAGGCTATAGAACTATTTAAAGGCTGCTTGGTCTCCTGTTTGGAGGCTGATGTGTGAAGCAGTTGGATTTGGCAATGTGGGTTTTCTTGTTTTGGTTGAAGCTTGGGTGTGGATTGTTTGTTTGTTTGTTTTTTTTATTTCATTCACAATTGTGTGTGAACAGATTTGATTTGTTGGACTTAGATAACAATGAGTTGTGGACTGAAAGCCTCCCCTTTAGTCAATCAGGACCTGGTAAAGGGCCTTGTATTTAAAAGGTGGTTCGGCCCTCAGGCCTGTGGCTCCCAGGCCTGGTATTAATTGTGTTTGGGATGAACATCCTTCTAAGTAGTACAACACTGGTCTGTCAATTTACTGTACAGAGTTAACTTTAGGTTGCTGTGATGCTGAACACTGTGACATTGATGCGTCAAATGTCATAATGGTTACCCACTGGTAAGCAGTGTTTAGTGAAGCTCCCAGATTAATATAGGCTTGCCAGAAACTCCATGAACTTAGATCAACAGTGATAGCTATACAACCTGGTGAAGGTCTTTTGTTCATAGGGTCGCTAAGAGTCATCTTCAACTAAATGGCACTT